ATGATTGTCTAAATGTCTAAATTAATTTATATTTTAGACATTGTCTAAATAATTTAGTTTAGACACCCATATATAGTCACCAACACTGTTTTGAAGAGGCAAAAGTCAAAACTAAAATTAAAAGTTATATGTCAAAACTAAATCAAAAAGTCAATAGTCAAAAATCAAAACTAGTTTCAACTTATGGAGAACCCTTTTGACTTTTGCAAGATTGTGGGCTCTCTAGTTTTGGAAACCAATATTGACTCAGCTATAAAAAATTGTGGGATAATAAAAACAAAGAAAAAGCAAATTTGGGTTAACATAGTAAACTTGTGCAACTTTGAGGCCAAATGAAATTGTAACTTTGTAGAGAAAGGTCTTAGTCTCAAAATTACAATCTGTTTTTTTTTGGTTTTACATTTCTATTATATTGTAAATTCAGTATTAGTATAAATTTTTTTTGAAAATGTCTACATTAGATCCAATTCAACTCAAAATCATTCAAGTTTTATCATATACTGAAACTTTTACTTGTTCAGAATAAGGTTGCTTGCTGAAACCTCTTAATGACTGCTGAAACTCTGCCGAAACTATAATAAACAATTAGTGTGTAACCTGCAAAAACTCTGCTAATTGTTGAAATCCCTAAATGTGAAACTCTGCCAAATCTCTAACAAACAATTAATGTGTTACCTGCTGAAACTCTGCTGATTGATTTCCAGGGGAGTTTTGGCAAGCAACCATAGTTCAGAATCAAACTCTGATAGCACAAATAATTTACCTGTTATGATGTATGGAATCATTTTTTAAAAAAATTGAAGATCCAAGAACTATGGAAATTAAATCTTTCAAATGTAATTCATATAAATCTTCTTGTCCAACCTCTTTAATTTATTCAAAGATAAACAACACTCACCTTCTACCAATTTCGACCTTATAACAAAGCTGAATCCAAGTATATTATACAATATGTGCTGTAAATTTTAAGTGATCAATTTCGTCAATTTGTTGCAGGATTAAATCCTCAATATATAATTCCAACAATTAAAGATATAACTTTATTCTGGAAAGAAGTGTAGATTCAAAGGAGAAGATTAAAAAGCTAGAAAAAGAATTGGAAGAGAAGGAATTATTGGTTAATTAGTTGAAAAAAAGTTGAATGTCACCTTGAAGCCTTAGAAGTAGCTCAAGAATGAAGTAAAACTGAAAACTTAGAGAAGTTAGAGAAAGTCAAGAATCAGAAAATACAAGATATTCTCTTACAAGGTAAGGAAAATGAATTGTAAGCAATTCAACAAGAGATGAACTAATTATGCTGTCTGTAAATCGGGATTTACAGAAGCTGTATCCAGCAATTGAGTTGTCATACTATTTGCAACCAAGTGCCAAAATCTGTAACTCTCTGTAATATGTAAATGTGTGTAATTCAGTAATTGTAAAACTGTAATACTACAAATTTATATCGTGAGGTAGTAAATCTTTGACCTATCAATTGTCCCGGTTAATATTGACCAATTAGAACAAATTTATAACGGCAGTCATGTGATGCGCTAAATATTACATCACAATCAATGACCATCTTTCTATACATGTGGGTGGAAATTGGTCATTAATTTTCATTTTTGTGATATAATAGGAAGATCTGCAACATATAGTAAAATTTTCTTTTCCTCTGTTCAAAAAATTCAAGTCACTTGATATTAATTTAAAATCAAAAATTCTTTTAATGAATTTGAAACAATTTTAAAGGTGTAACATTAAAGTTATAAAATCCATATTGTTCTTTTAAAATGTTAAAATATTGCTTCTTAAATATCTAATCATATGCAGAATAATAATATATTCACTCATTCTGTTTGTGATCTCATAATTAATATAGAAATATAACAAATTTCAGCATAAAAATAGATCCTTAATTTACCTTTAGTTATATATATAATTAACAGACTAATAATAATTTCATATACTTCATGACCAAATCATACAATGTTTTTTCCATGATGGGATCAAGAATGTCTGCATGTACCACATCTTTTTTCCATGCAAGCAAAGTCATGTGTGTATTGTTCTGCAGTTTTGAAATTCATCATGTTTGAAGAAATTCTCCAAATTTTTTTTTTTACCCCAAAAATCTTCCCTGCACAAAGTAAAGTATACCAATATTTGTCTAATACTTTTAAAAAACATACCAAAACCTTCGTGGAGATTCTGTAATTCCAACAAAGTAGGTATTAATATATGCCACTATGTAAAGCAAGCCTTAAATTTTCGTATAAACATTTAGTTTTTTTCTAATCCCATATAAAACTTTACAAATTCCATATATCAATATACACATATATATATATTTTTATATTTTTTATATACATCTACACACAAAAAATAAATGAAATATATTCTAATAGTTTCAAAAATTTTATTTGCTAGTTTACAAACTACATTTTACTAATTACATCTAAGGGCATATAAAAAAAAATACATATCCAGTGTAAGTATTAATTTTTTTAGGTGTAAAAAACGTAGAAAAACAATATACTCACTTGTCAATAGAATATCTTCTTGAATTTCCAAAAACTAGGTAAGAAACAAAATATTATAATTTTTATTAGTTATGTTGCAATCAAATAATTTAAATAAAAATTTTATCATTTCAAACACTAAACTTTTGTAATTCTATTATAGAGAAAATGCCAAATAAATGGTATAATAATCTTTCAAGCCAAAATATAGGTTATACCCCAATTAAAAAAATTCAAGGTTGGTTTGTACGTGATGATACTATTCCATATCAGGTATTACCCTCACATCAATATTTTGATTTTGACTTGGAAAAAGGAGGTATGTATCAGTTGGCAACAGTTAAGGGGATAAATCCTGATTCAACAGATGGAAAATGCTGGATTCCATTTCTTCCCGGTTATAGAATTTTTACACATTATAAAGACACTTATTTTCAACTTTCTATTGGACTTGATGATGAAACACAATGCTTGGAATTTATATGTGTTGATTATTTTAGTAGCAATAAATAGCAAATGACAATAACAAATCATTGTTTTTTGAGGATGATAATAAAGTTTAAGATCCAGTTTGTGTAGGAGTGATTGAAGTAAGCATTAAGGACAAGACCTATGAACAAAATATAATAATGAACATTTTATTAATTATTCAATAGTTTGTGTAGGAGTGATTGAAGTAAGCATTAAGGACAAGATATATGAACAAAATATAATAACAAATGTTTTATCAATTATTCAATAGTTTGTGTAGGAGTGACCGAAGTAAGTGTTAAGAACAAGATATATGAACAAAATATACTAACAAACGTTTTATCAATTATTCAATAGTTGTATAGGAGTGATTGAAGTAAGCATTAAGGACAAGATCTATGAACAAATATACTAACAAGTGTTTATTAATTATTCAATATTTTATATAAGATCTACGAACAAAATATTCTAGTGAATGTTTTATTAATTATTCAATAGTTTGTGTAGGAGTAATCAAAGTAAATTTTAAGGACAAGATCTATGAACAAATTATAATAAACGTTTTATTAATTATTCAATAGTTGTATAGGAGTGATTGAAGTAGCATTAAGGATAAGATCTATGAACAAATATACTAACAAGCATTTATTAATTATTCAATAGTTTATATAAGATCTATGAACAAAATATTCTAACAAACGTTTTATCAATTTGTGTAGGAGTAATCAAAGTAAGCTTTAAGGACAAGATCTATGAACAAAATATAATAACAAATGTTTTATTAATTATTCAATATTTTGTGTAGGAGTGATTGAAGTAAGCATTAAGGACAAGATCTATGAAGCTTGTGAAGCAAGTTTTACAAAAATGAACATTTTATCAATTATTCAATAGTTATTTACTTATGTATATAAATTTCTTTTATATTTAATAACATCACTATGACAAATAATTAAATGAATAAAGTCCGAGATAAAACACCTTTAATTTAATCATTATTGTTGCTTGTTTACTATTATAATTATTATTTATGTATATACTGTAGGCAAAGAAAAATTTTAATGTCTATTTATTTATTATATTAAAATAAATGATTTTACTATAAAAGACATACCTAAGTGATCAAAAATCTATAAATATTCATAATAATGTAATTATTTCTACTTATAATTGCAATTGGATGTGTCAAACAAAATTTTACATATATGAATATAAAGGCAAAATTTGACTTTGAGGGTCAGATTATTTTCGGTTTTATTAACAACCTGCTTTAAAAATTTTCTTAAAGCAGATACATATGATAAAGAAGTTATATCTCAAATTTGGCGGTGGTTGCTACACAGCAAGGGTATTAAATGGGGATTAGAAATCACTTGATTGTAAAATTTTACTATGATGCAGATTCAAAAATTTACAACTCCCTATTGATCTGCGTGACATGTCCTGTGACTGCTATATCAATCAACTTCTTATTTATTGTTGTTTAATTTTTTGATCTTGTATTACCAACAACATTTTTTCTTCCCATCTAACAAAAACTTCCCAATAATAATTAATATTATTGATTTTTATCAAGTATGTTTTTTATATTTTATACTATTATTTTTGTTGATGCTATTTATCATTATGTACTGTATATTCATCTAATATTATTATAATGATTGTTTTTAAAAGTATCATGGGAGTTTTTGTATCGGCCACCAGCCACCAAGAACAAAGTCGAACAAGTCAACCATCACAGTACTTATGTTTTATATTTTATATTTTATATTTTTTTTTTTATTTTTTATATTTTATTTTTTATTATTTTTGTTGATACTATTTATCTAATATTATTATGTTTTTTTTTTTTTAAAAAAAAAAGGATGGGAACGGACGGACGGACGACGGACGGAAGGAAGGGAGCGTTAATTTGCACTACTGACTAACTAAGCCACGAATTGGGTTAGCAGTCGATCGGAATCCGTCGACTTTCCCTCTACTTAGTGAGAAATTACTTTGTATGGAAGTGCTACACGATCGTCACTTACTAAGTATATAATTATACTTTTAAAACGATCCGGACTCCTCGTTAGGAGTTTGAGAAGGCCCTTGTATGGTGCTGTAGTCAGTAGTGCTCTCTGATCTTTTTTATAAAAGAAATGATGATAGAGCCATATTGATTTAATAAAAAAAAAATATATATAATTATATAATAATAATATGGCAATTGGCGATGATGAACAAGAGGGTTTGAAACTTCTCTTTATAGTGAAATGATATTAACTTCTAAAGTCCTTACTGGTATGTCGTCGTACGTACATTTTAGCAGTAAGGATCTGAGCCAATTATTATTTTTATTATTATAATTATGAATAAATTAAATAAACAAAAAATATTAAATGTCAATTATATCGTTATCAATTTTTTTTTCTGATGTATATGTTAAATTAAAATTTGAAATCCGTGCACATTATGTTTTTTGTTATAAACTCGAACTTTGTTGTTAAAGTAAAATGAAAGTACTCCATTAAAGCTTTCTAATGAATACATTTTCATACTGAAAGGTACATAAATTCACGGCTATTCAAAAACGGTATTAATTTTTCATTTCAAACCTCAGATTATTTTTTAATATTGCTTTAAAAGACTTGATAGAGAAGATGTAGAATACTTTAAACTTTCATATGGTTATTACTTTATGGGACGTTGGTTAATAAGTTTTAGAAAGGTTCACGAAAAACTATTAATAGTCATGACCTCTTATTAATTTTTATTATTTATTTTATTTAGAAGGAAACATTTTTTTTTAAAAAAAAAAAAGAGAAAAGAGATAAAATTCATTAATCGATTTGATTGGTTGCATTTGTAATATCAATCAGTAGTTGTTACAACAACATTAAACAATAATATTAGTCGCAAACGATGACAACGAATCATCATTTCTTGAGGATATTAAGATTCAATTTGTGTAGTAGTGATCGAAGTAAGTGTTAAGGACAAGTTCTATGAAGTTTACAAATATATTAACGAACGTTTTATCAATTATTCAATAGTTTGTGTAGGAGTGATCGAAGTAAGTGTTAAGAACAAGATCTATGAACAAAATATATTAACGAACGTTTTATCAATTATTCAGTAGTTTGTATAGGGGTGATCGAAGTAAGTGCTAAGAACAAGATCTATGAACAAAATATACCAACAAAGGTTTTATCAATTATTCAATAGTTTGTGTAAAAATGATCTAAGTAAGTGTTAAGAACAAGATCTATGAAACTTACAAAATATACTAACGAACGTTTTATGAATTATTTAATATTTTGTGTAGGAGTGATTCAAATAGGTGTTAATATCAAGATCTATGAACAAAATATATTAACGAACGTTTTATCAATTATTCAATAGTTGTATAGGAGTGATCGAAATAAGTGGTGTTAAGAACAAGATTTATGGAGCTTGCACTAACGAACGTTTTACTAATTATTCAATAGTTTGTATAGGGGTGATCGAAGTATGTGCTAAGGACAAGATCTATGAACAAGATATACCAACGAACGTTTTATTAATTATTCAATAGTTTGTGTAGGAGTGATCGAAGTAAGTGTTAAGGATAAGATTTATGAACAAAATATACTAACGAATGTTTTATCAATTATTCAATAGTTTGTATAGGAGTGATCGAAGTAAGTGTTAAGGAAAAGATCTATGAAACTTACAAAATATACTAACGAACGTTTTATCAATTATTCAATAGCTTGTATAGGAGTGATCGAAGTGTTAAGGATAAGATCTATGAATAAAATATATTAACGAACGTTTTATCAATTATTCAATATTTTGTGTAGGAGTGATCGAAGTAAGTGCTAATGACAAGATCTATGAACAAATATACCAACGAACGTTTTATCATTTATTCAATAGTTTGTGTAGGAACGATCGAAGTGTTAAAGATAAGTTCTATGAACAAAATATATTAACGAACGTTTTATCAATTATTCAATAGTTTGTATAAGAGTGTTTGAAATAAGTGTTAAGGAAAATATCTATGAAACTTACAAAATATACCAACGAACGTTTTATCATTTATTCAATAGGTTGTGTAGGAACGATTGAAATGTTAAAGATAAGTTCTATGAACAAAATATATTAACAAGCGTTTTATCAATTATTCAATAGTTTGTATAAGAGTGATTGAAATAAATGTTAAGGAAAATATCTATGAAACTTACAAAATATACTAACGAACGTTTTATCAATTATTCAATATTTTGTATAGGAGTGATCGAAGTGATCGAAGTAAGTGTTAAGGAAAAGATCTATGAAACTCGCAAATATATTAACGAACGTTTTATCAATTATTCAATAGTTTGTATAGGAGTGATCGAAGTAAGTGTTAAGGATAAGACCTATGAACAAAATATACTAACGAATGTTTTATCAATTATTCAATAGTTTGTGTAGGAGTGATCAAAGTAAGTGTTAAGGATAAGATCTATGAACAAAATATACTAACGAATGTTTTATCAATTATTCAATAGGTTGTGTAGAAGTGATCGAAGTAAGTGTTAAGGATAAGATCTATGAACAAAATATACTAACGAACGTTTTATCAATTATTCAGTAGTTTGTATAGCGGTGATCGAAGTAAGTGTTAAGGATAAGATATATGAACAAAATATACCAACAAACGTTTTATCAATTATTCAATAGTTTGTATAGGGGTGATCGAAGTAAGTGTTAGGAACAAGATATGTGAACAAAATATATTAACGAACGTTTTATCAATTATTCAATATTTTGTGTAGGAGTGATCGAAGTAAGTGTTAAGGATAAGATCTATGAACAAAATATACTAACGAATGTTTTATCAATTATTCAATAGTTTGTATAGGAGTGATCGAAGTGATCGAAGTAAGTGTTAAGAACGAGATCTATGAACAAAATATACCAACGAACGTTTTATCAATTATTCAATAGTTTATGTAGGAGCGATTGAAGTAAGTGTTAAAGATAAGTTCTATGAACAAATTATATTAACGAACGTTTTATCAGTTATTCAAGAGTTGTATAGAAGTGATCGAAATAAGTGGTGTTAAGAACAAGATCTATGAAACTTGCAAAATACACCAACGAACGTTTTATGAATTATTCAATAGTTTGTATAGGAGTTATCGAAGTAAGTGTTAAGGATAAGATCTATGAACAAAATATATTAACGAACGTTTTATCATTATTCAATGGTTTGTATAGGAGTGATCGAAGTAAGTGTTAAGGATAAGTTTTATGAACAAAATATATTAACAAACGTTTTATCAATTATTCAATAGGTTGTGTAGGAGTGATCTAAGTAAGTGTTAAGAACAAGATCTATGAACAAAATATACCAACGAACGTTTTATCAATTATTCAATAGTTTGTATAAGAGTGATCGAAGTAAGTGTTAAGAACAAGATCTATGAACAAAATATACCAACAAACGTTTTATCAATTATTCAATATTTTGTGTAGGAGTGATTGAAATAAGTGTTAAGGACAAGATCTATGAAGCTTGCAAAGCAAGATTTACAAAAATGAACATTTTGTGAATTATTCAATAGTTTGTATAGGAGTGATCGAAATAAGTGTTAAGGACAAGATCTATGAAGCTTGCAAAGCAAGATTTACAAAAATGAACATTTTATGAATTATTCAATAGTTTGTATAGGAGCGATTGAAATAAATGTTAAGAAGATCTATGAAGCTTGCACTAACGAACGTTTTATCAATCATTCAATAGTTATTATATAAATTTCTCTTTTATTTAATAACACCATTATGATAAATGATTAAATGAATAAAGTCAGAGATAAAACACCTTTTAAGTTAATCATTATTGTTGCTTGTTTATTATTCTAATCATTATTTGTATATATAGGTAAAGAAAATTTTTAATATCTTTATTTATTATATTTACTTTTAAAATAAATGATTTTACTATAAAAGACATACCCTAAGTGATCAAAAATCTGTAAGTTTTCACAATAATGTAATATTTAGACATTTATACTTGCAATTGGACGCATCAAACAAAATTTTACGTATATGAATATAAAGGCAAAATTTGACTTGAGGGTCAGATTATTTTCGGTTTTATTAACAACCTGCTTTAAAAATTTTCTTAAAGCAGATACATATGATAAAAAAGTTATATCTCAAATTTGGTGGTGGTTACTACACAGCAAGGGTATTAAATGGGGATTAAGAGTCATTTGATTGTAAAATGTTACTATTTACTATGTAAAATTCGAATTTTACTATGATGCAGATCATCAAGTTTTACAGCTCCCTATTGATCTGAGTGACATGTCCTGTGACTGATATAGGAAAGGTTAGCCCTAAATGCTGCGGGATTGCTACTAAGAACTCCTCATTTATAAATAGATCACAAAATATTATAATGCAATACTCCCCCATATATGCATAATAAAATATTATATATCATTGATAATAATATTTTGATTTTGAATTTCTATCACTGGTAAAAAAAAGTAAATTTAACAATAGTTAATCATCAAAAGTTTGACCTTTGTTAAATAAAACTGTGCATCTTAACAAATAATTTCTATTTTTTAAAATAATATTAATAAATAATAATAATAATAATAATGGTCACATAACAATTCTTTCTGATTGTATAGCTAAAGTCATCTAAAACCGACCAATTTTATTCGGCATTTTTGAAGCCCATCACACAGACACACAGAGCACTTTTGAACTCAAACTCTTCATTGTTTTATGTAGTAAATGCCAAAGAATAATTCTATGAAAAGTTTGATGTAAAATATATATTATTTAAAAAGTTATGGTGGTTTGAATATTAGTAACTTTCTATATTTTAAATAATGTTTACCCTAAATTTTACCACCTCTTTCATAGATTGTTAACTATTAAGG